TGTGCGTGTGCGTGTGCGTGTCTCTGGAGCGAAGCATAGCAATTTATAACGAATTCCACGGGCCATACATCCTTCCGTGTGCATGCACGCAGACCGCACTAGGAGAACGTGCTATCGAGAAAGGACGCTCTCGTGACGTACCCGTGTGTGTGCGTGTCCGTCTGCAGCGAAGCATACGAATTTATCACGGATTGGAAAGGCAATAGATACGGCACACAGGACAAGTCACATTGAGTGCATCTACCAGTATCCTTGGCATGCGAGGGTATACTTTCCAACTCGCACTTAAGTTTGGGGTGTGTAGCATTCGCTGGCTCTCTGTTGTTTTGATCCCGCCAGCCGGCAGATTGGTGCGCGCATCCCAGTAGCAGATCATCTGTCCTGCCCCAGCACAACAATATGTTTACGCATGAACGTGGTCGATTGGTTGTACAACCCGACAACTGCAGAGGCTCCTGAAAGTGGCCCGGGAAGGTAGCCTGCACCCTTGCCCAAGCATGCGCAATGGCAGCTTCGTCGGTTCCGTGCAGGTTCAAGGACGCGTGGCTTCCGCGTATTGTTTTCCCGGCGTGCATGGCGACCCATGCCTTTCAACAGGACAAATCGACATGGGAATGCAGACAACAATGCATGCAATCGTTGACGCACTTCTGTTGGGCACGTGCCTGGTTGCGCTCGTTCTTGTAAATGTTCACCTGCGGCGGCATGGTGTGGTCGCCCTCGATGGCCTGAAGAAAGCATGGTCAAGAATGCAAATTGCTGATGCCTGGATGTGGACATACCGCGCCTGGACCTTGGCGAAGTCCGTGTGGTATTCAGTCGGCCCTCTGCTGGCCGCTGATGGCTCTGGACTTTCGTTGAGAATTGGAGGCACGCGGCGTGCTGCCTCGTCAGAGCGCAAGCACGTCGCTGAACTCTCACACTGATTGTGGGCGGAAAAGGCGAACGCTGACTGGCGAGTGCGGCCTGGGATGCTCGAGTGTGCTCGGCGGAACGAGCTGCTTGAAACAGTTGTCCGGAAGTGGCGCCGCGAGACGCGCTGTAGCTGACAGAAAGCGGCCGGCCCACCCTCGTTTCGGCAACAACTTCCAGAGAGCGGTCATTGGCAATGATGGACGTCACAACCCGCGCGTGCTCGCAGGTTGCGCCAAGTGCGAAGGGCAAGCAGGGGCAGAGGCAACGATGCAAAGGGATAGACCACAAACTAGAAGCTGCCGCGCCGGACAAGACCACAACTATATCATAGCGGAAATGCATCCATTGTTGCAGGTTCAACGCATACGTACTAGTCACACGACCGCTAACAATCTTGCGGCGTTGCCATACCTGCATCAAGGCGTGTCCATCTGTCTCCGTCGCCATGCGAGCGCAATCTTGCGCGTCGGCGACTGCGATAGCGGTTTCAGCCAGCGGCAGTGCATGGTACGTGCCTTTTGCTGGCAATGTCTCGTCCGGATCCCACCGTAACAGTGAGCGGCGTAAGACAAAGGCCGTGCTGTCCGGCGCTAGACTCACCGCCCGAATCTGGTCTCGGCGTTTGAAAAGCTCGGCAGCAGTGGATCTGCCCACGAGTGCTAAACGTGAATCAGATCGCACCACCGGGTCTTCTCTATCGGGCAGGTCGATGAGTGAATGCGGTGGGCGTTTCAGCACTTGTTGGCCGATGGCAGTGACGGCTTCTTGTAGGGCTTGGAAAAACGGCAGCGGGGCCAGACGACGAAGCTCTGCAGGTCTATTGCGGGAGGCCGCTTGCTTGTCGAGGGTGGCCACTAGCGCCGTCCGTACTCCTGAGGCATGGTAGGCTTCAACAGACTGCGTGCCGCTGGCACTGCCCGGCTGTAATCGGGTGTAGGATGCCCACCAACTAGCACAGAGGACGTGGCCGTCGTCCGTCAAAATGGGGTTGGTCACTCGGTATTGCTCGCGAGCGGTGGCAGGCATGAGCTGGAAAAAATAAGTGCTGCGCAGGTGGGAAGCCAGTTCAGGGTACAGGGTTTAGGGGTTTAGGGCTTACGGCTTAGGGTTCAGGGTTTAGGGTTTAGGGCTTAGGGTTTAGGGTTTAACGCTTAGGGCTTCGGGTTTAGGGTTCAGGGTTAGGGTTTAGGGTTTAGGATTTGGGTTTAGGCGGCTTCGGGCTTAGGGTTTAGGGTTGAGGGGCCAGGATCAGAGGGACCTCTTTCATTTCCTTACCACGGTGACTGAAGATCAGATTCCTTAACAACAACTTAGTAGATGATACGGTCCTCTTGCTGGTAACTGTATACCCTACCCTAAATCCTAAACCCTAAACCCCTAAAGCCCTAAACCCCAAACCCCAAACCCCTAGACCCCTAAACCACAAACCCTAAACCCTAAACCCGAAACTCGAAGCCGGTAAACCCTATAGATCCTATAGAGCCCTTTTAAGGAACTCTTTAAGGAACCCCGAACCTACCACAAACCGAAACTCGAAGCCGGATTTAGGGTTTAGGGGTGGAGATGTAAGGGCTTATGGGGTTTGGCTTTTGTCTGGGATTCCGCAGAGTAGGAAAGCCTCTTAGCGGTTCATATTGGGTTTTTGACGACTCGAAGGGTTAGGATTGTGGACGGCGCTTGAGGATTTCGGATGTAGATTGTGGTTTGTGGTGTTGTCGATTTCATTTCATGGATTCTGCAATATCTTTTGACGGCTTTTCCTGAGCTATCCAAGGGCGATAAGGCATTCTGAAGTTCGAGATTGCAGGTTTAGGGCTTAGAGGGATCTTCGAGGGTTGTGAATAGTAGGATGCTTCAATTAGCTATACTTGTTGGGAAGGAAGACTATACAGACTTTACAACAAACCTTGGAAACCGCCACAAACCCTTGCAAGCAAAGTGTTTAGGGTTCAAAACAAACCCCAAATCTTCATTTGCCCAACCCCCAAACCCGAAAAGTTGAAGCCTGAACGCCTGGGTATTAAGCTGAGAGTATGGCCAGGCCGTAAGCGATCAGCTGCATGACCATCTCCATTGCAAAAAGCAACGCAAACCTCGGTGAAGAGATTCTTGACTAGAAAATGCCACCTTTCACGCAAGCCCTGCTGAAAACCTGACCTGTACCAGAGCCTCTGGAACATGCATGTTTTGGTGTATGATTTATCAAAGCAGCAAGGAAGCTAACAGTTCTTCTGAGTCCAAACCTTAAACGTGCTGAGAGCATGGATTACACCTCAAACGACACTCATAGCAGAAGCCGAACGCTCCGGGCTTGCAAGTTTGCAGCCGACGCACGGCCTGAAGCTCATCGGCTGTGAGGAGATCACACCGTGGCCTTGCATTGTTGAGCAGTGGGCTCTTCACAAGGTGCAAAGGAAACGATCCGTGTGGAGGCAGCCTGCGTGCAAGCCGGGCACAGCGGCGAACTTCTTGCTCACCGGCAGCCCTTGCAGCACCAGTCGTTGACTCGCAGCACCCGCTGGCGCGGCCCACGCAAGCCCAAGAGGCGTGCCGTCTCTACCAGATGCTTGGCCTTGATTCGGCTGTCCGTCTGGTTCTGGCACAATGCGCAAGCCTTGGCTTTCAGGACGTTCACAAAAGCACCGTTGCTGCACAATGTGCTCTGCACTTCTTGTCTGGTGTTGCCACGGAACGGCCGTGTTCTTGGCCTTCTTCTGGATCCTGATCTGTAGCGCCTCTGATGAGTTTCTCTTGACGGCAGTTGACATGTGAGTGACTCCGTGAGCGC